TAAGCCGTTGGAATATAATCTATTCGTTTATCGGTTTATGGGTATATACTCCGTATATATAGCTGAAACCCGGTAATATAATGTTGATTATTTTATAGAAAAAGAAAAAGAATTGTCTTGGGAATACTAAAATACTTTATTATCAGTATATCACATGAATGTATTATCTATCAATCTATCATATGAATGTTTGGTTAAAAAAAATCATATGAATGTTTGGTAATGTAAAAAAATGACGATTCAAATAAGATCGGGAGTAAGGATTTTATTTTTACTTGGACTGTTATTTGCTGGCCTGGTCTGGTCTGGTCTGATTTCTTTGTATTTTTATAACTATCCAAGTCTGATCTGGTCTGGTCTGATCTGGTGTGATCCGGTCTGATACTCTGATATGGTTTGGTCCGGGACATATTACAGTCCAAGTAAAAACATCCTAAGATGATCTCATACATTTCAGTTGTATAATTAAAGAACATATATATGGGTGTTTGCATCGGATTCTTAAAACTGTTTCTGTTCCTTCAGGGAGCAGAAGAAGAAGCTGGAGTGTTTGAGTGAAAGTGAATAAGTGATTTTGGTGTTCTGATCTAATTTACTCGTAGAATCAGTTTCTTTTAGGAGCTGGGGTGACCGGTTTCTGAAAACTAATTCTGATTCTGCTTCTACTTTAAAAAACAAGCAGAATCAGAATCAATTCCTAAGAGGCATGATATTCTTGTTTTGCAAATTGCAATACATTTATTCATATTTTGGAACATTTTCCAATAGAAAGGGATATAAATACACGCACAGGTTTATATATTTACCTATTCATGACTTCATGTACGTACGTAGTATAAATGGAGTATAATTTTGCGATTCTTACTAAAACATTACTTACATAAAGTTTTTGGGGCTACAATTAAATGCGACTAAAGTTGATATACGTAGTATATTACTTCGTACTATGTATTATATAACCTCATGTATTGTGTCGCCTACAGTATAATAATAAATATCCACAATAATATTGTTAGTCTTACATGCAATTTATAAGGAAATGATCACAAATAGGATGAAAACATAAAGAGCCCGTTTGGTAGCACGGAAATCGGCTTTTTTGGCTGATTCTGCTGAAATTCCTGAAGTTCTGGCTAAAGTGGCTGTATTGGCTGATTCTGCTGATTTAAGAAACAATTATTTTTAAAATATATTTTATTAATAAAATAAAGAAAAAATTATATGTAAAAATAGCTAAAATGGTCATCTAGAGTGACTTCAGCCAAAACAGCCAGAAAAGTAACTCCAACCTTACTTTTTCTGCTTATTACACAACTCAGCGCGCGAAAGTAAAAGTTACGTGTTTGGTGAAAAAGTTGGCTGATAAGCCTGATAAGCCGAAAAACAGTGCTGCCAAACGGCCTCAAATTAAACAAAGCTTACAAATATGATTAACAATGTGTCTATGTTTTATTTATCAAATAGAACTTATTTAATCCTATCAAAAGTATGGAACTTCCTCTTTTAAGAATCATATTCTAGAAAGGAAACAAAGATAGTCTTATTTACACACTTTGTGTATATATGTTGTCCTCATATTTGAGGATTTTTTTCTCTTTAGTATACATGAATATTTAATTTGTAAAATTAAAATACAAGTATTTACAACTTTATCTTTAGAATCTTAGTAAAAATTGCTTAGTTTTCTTAATTTTATGGGGGAGTTTGACTTTTCACCCTCACTTTTTGAGTGATATTGGACGTTGCACTTCATTTAAAAAAACCTTTGATTATACACCTCATTCCATGTCACTTAAAAATCCTTTGACTCTGCACGTACTCGATTTAGAAATTTTTTCTTCACAAAATGATGTGTTGAGGTGAAAAAATAATTTTTTTTCAAAATAGGCCGGATGCAAAGTCCAATATCATTCAAATAGTGTGAGACAAAGTCAAATTACCCATTATTTATTCATATATTCTGAATCCACTCTCTTTATTATTATTACCCAGCCATGAGCCGGAAGAATGCATTTGCGGCTACAAAGCTTGACTTGTCGCTGAACTTGTCGCCACCTAGGGAGAGTCTCCATTCTGCGGCCGAGTCGTCGCCGAGCAGCTCATCAACACTGCCGACGGGGTCTCCGCCTATCTCCTGCATGTCACCGGAGAGCCAGGAAGACCCCGTCGGCAGCCAGTGGTATCCTAGCAGCCCGCCGGAGGCGCCGTCGATGGTGCTAGTAGGGTGTCCACGCTGCCTCATGTACGTCATGCTAGCCCAAGCCAAGCCTACGTGTCCTATGTGCAACAGTTCTGTTTTGCTGGATATCATCTATGATGACACAAAAAATGCAAGGAATTGATTAGAAGTAGTATGGTTAATCTAATCTAATCATTAATCTCAATAATCCATCTCAGTAGGTGTTTAATAGTTTCCTTTTTCGGTAGAGCATTAGTAGAGACGTCTTCCATTTTCAATATTGTATTTAATTGCAACGACAAAGTCATATACTAAGCTAGTAGTATATTAATTACGGAGTATGTGTTGCTTGTTAACTTCAACATTCAACTATTTCTAACATTCAACTATGTCTTATAAAATTCTTCCCAATTTGACTTTGATCGGAGTTTAAGAAAGTGAGAATAAAATGAAACTGTATGGTTGTGATTGAGTAATAAAAAAGTAAATGACAAGTGATTTTTCAAAAAAGGAAATGAGAAAAAAATTTGGAGATCCCAAAAAGTAAGTGAGAAGAATTTTATGAGACGCAAGAGTTATGAACTAATTGATGACCTTACTCTCTCGGATAGGCCAATCACACCCCGAATACACACAAATCTTATTTTCTGGTCAGGAAACTGCTTTACTCTATACTGATTGATGACCTTTCTCATGTAAGAGAGATGGAAGAAAGAAACTCCATCTATCCTCTATCCAATATAAAATTTACAGTTTCTGTTGCCTGTTGGTGCAAATCCGATTATCTGAATTTTTCAGTGGAGAAGCAATTCTCCTCTGTTATAGGCCCCAATCACTCAATCAGGTAAGAAGGCTTCTGAAAAAACCAAGCATTGGCATTTATAATCACACCTTCCATTCAAGATTATCCAAAAGCCACCGCAGAGCCCTCATTGCCTCATCAAACTACTGTCTTTACATAAGTTATGCTATGTAGGTACTAATAAATACTCCGTACTACGTATAACCAATATATTAAAGTTTTTGGAGTAATTATCCTAATTGGAAAAATTGGGGCAGGGCTACTGCACCCCTTTGTGTCCAGTTGCCACTGGGTCCTGTCTTCTTACAGTACATGAAGAAGAGACATATGCAACGCACCGTTCATTCGATGTGCCACAACTCTTTTGTTAAGAGGCATACACGATGCACACACTCTCGTATTAAAAAGTTGAGTTTCATTCAAAATGACCAACTTGATGTAAGGGAAGGTTTTATACGTCAAGTCTGTCGAAAATGACATTACATGCATCATAACTCGTAAGTGGGTGGTTCATTGTTTCAGATTGATCCTACCGTCTATGCGCGTTGCTAAAGCTTACTAAAGTCGAATCCTCCTGTCCATGCTTGTTAAAGCTTACCAAAGTCGAATTGCTCGATAGAGCTTATGGGTTTGAGTCCATATTAAAATATCACACCAGGTCAGAGGAATAGCCCAGTCTTATATTTGCACTGTATTCCTTTTTTGCCTTCACTCTCCACAGCCACAGTCACTCACTCACTCTTTTCCCTTACCTTTAAATTTACAGGTAATAAAAATATTCTTTTATCTAATCAACTTGAACATTCGGCAGCCAGATGAGTAGATGACTTTCGCTTGAACTGCTTAGAACTTCAAGTAAGATCCAATGCCAAAAGCAACAAATAAGTGACAGCCAAAAGTCTAAAACCAGTCTTAAGGTACATAGTTGACTTAGTTGTACAAGTACACCTTAGCATGTATCCCACGTCAAGCTACCACGTGATATTTTCAAGGTAGATGAATGAATCATTTCATTTTCATTTTCATTTACCCTAGTGCCGCAAAGGCTCCCACCTACTGTGGGGTGGGGTAAGGGGGTTGAATGTACGCAATCTTACTCCTATACTAAAGCACAGACTCACAGAGAGATTGTTTCCGAATGACCCATAGTGAAAATCGCGTCCAAAATTGAATGGACTGACTGCTGCTTCATAACAAAGAAGTGCAGACAGTTCATTGAGCCATTTTGCTTTATTCCATCATATTCTCAAGCAAAAAAAATGAATCTTTGGTGAATGAATAAATAAAAACAAAAAGGACAAGGTGCTGATAAACCTGGGCTTCACCCCAGCTGCGACGGAACCACTCATCAGCACGACGGCACCCGTCTCCCTGACACTGGGCCTCTCACCAACTGGCGACCTATAATCCAGTCATCTCCCATGTTCTACCTTATATCCCCTTTTCCCTGATAAACCTTGTAGAAACCAGCTCATAGTTTGACGTAATTGGTTTCTGATAGTTGGGTGGTTTCTGATATTTGTTTCAGCCTCAAATACGCAAGTGCCCATTTCAGAAATAGTAAGGGGGCGTTTGTTTCTTTACACATTAAAACTTTGCATGCGAACTGATTGCATGTAAAATGTAGGGAAGTAATCACTTCGCGTGCGAAATATGAATACATTGTTTGGTTAGGTGTGTATTTTAATTATAAATTACATCGAAAGCATTTACATTGTTTGGTTGAAAAATATAACTTTGCATGCAATGTGTAATTCAAATGTCTAAAGAGCCCTTATTATACAAAACATGCTACGCATGCCAACCTTGTGACTTCTGAAGCAAATGAGAAAACAACAACATTGTGTCATCCACCACCATTTACAAGATAACCTGAACAAATCATTGGCATCTACTTTTGTTTAAGAATTGCAAAAGCAGATTCCAAAACATAGCAGACCGTGGGTAGCAGTAATTCATGCCTAGAAATTTAAGTGGTCTTAATTTTATAAATGAAATGCATAATTCAAAGAAAAACATGAAAGCTACTAATAAAATAAAAAAGCAGAAAGTGGGTAGCATTAAATTTATAAAAGTTCAAATAGCAGTCCGCTGCTTTATTCAACCAAATATGAAATTGCTTAGAAATTAAACAAATCCTAGACAAAATTGAAAAACATAATTACAGAACATGCTGTAATCATATTTCACCGTTTAGAACAGCACTAATGTAAATCAGTTTGGCCTCTTCATCTGGCATCAATAAAAACGAATCTGTTTTCCCTTTACTAGCTGATATGATTCCAAATGCTCGAATCGCGTTCTCCTTGCTTAAATTTGGTAAATTCATTATCATCTCTAAAATATGTGGCTTGTTATCATCAGCTGCATTAAAACGATCAAAGAAAGTTGACATCTTCTCAAACTGTTTGTTTGAAGTAGCACATAATTCCATAATTCTTTCCATTTTTTGTTGAAAGTCTTCAGCATGTTTATCAAAAGAACCACTCTTCTTGGATTTTTTTGTTCCACTAAATTCCTCCTTGATTGAAACACTAGCAGCCCGTTTCTTGTTTTTGTTGATGTCAGGCGTAGAAAAAATATGATCATTCATACTTTCAAGATCCACAGCCACACCAAAAAAGTCATCTTGAACAGCCTTTTTCGACATGGACCCTCCAGTCAAAGGATCACTTTCCTTTCCTAAAGCTGCCACCATTTCAGCAGGAGACTCACACTTATCCCCAGATGCCCATTCATTACCGAATATCATTGCTAGCTCATCAAAATAAGGGAAGGATTTATATCTCAAATGAGTAGCATCTTTATGGCTCTGCAACAATTATATTAATAACAGTAATACAAAAAGAGTAAAATCTTACACGCAAAATATAATACCAATCAGTTAAGGACAGCAAAATGATATTACCTTGATCCATGATGTCCAAACCTCATCATCACAAGTCACCATTTTCCTTTCTTCATTCCAACCAAAACCCGAAGCATCTCTCATCATTGAAAATTCTTTGTATTGTGTTTTCAAGTGTCTTAACCTATTCTTTATATGTGGATCTCCCGTAATATGACAACCAGGGATTTTTGCAGTCATCCATTTCTGCAATTGTTGATAAAATCCCGTTTTGAAACCATTTTCAGCTTTCCACCCTTGGTTAATGAATTCTAGGCAGCCATCAATAAGAATTTTGTCCTCATGAGGAGACCATTGATGATTGCTACGCTTGCTCACCTTTGTACTTGAGATAACAGTACAATCTTCCATGGTAAAGTGCCTACCTTTTATGGACAAATAATTAAGAGAATCAACATGGACAACACAAACTGCATGATCATACCATGTGTATCATTGACAGTACATAAAAATGGGTATAATAGGTTGTTTAACATGGCAATAGATTTGGAAAATATAATCAAATGCCAAACACAACTATTGAAATGGTAATAAAAATGTTAGATCTCAAATTCACTGAATATTATGAGCATGTCCATTACAGATAAATAACTAGTAACAAAATAATAACAATGAATAAAACCAATAAGTTCAAGCTTAATTCCTACGGCACTCGTTCCAGATTTCTTGTGCTAAATTATCTCTAAATGCAGTCCACGCAACGGAGGGTTCGATATCCTGTATGTTTGGGACATTTAACAACGTGTCAGGATCAACATAATCCTCGGGCACCTTATCCTCAAGTGGATCCCTTCGCATCTCCCTTCTTATATGATTGTGCAGTAAAGCACAGGCCGTTATCACTCTACAATGCGTCTTGATAGGATACCAAGATCTTTCACGAAGAATCGCCCATCTCATTTTAAGTAAACCGAATGATCTCTCAATGACATTACGAGCGCTAGAATGTTTGTAGTTAAACATTTCCTCTTTTGTTCTAGGTTGATTGTTTTGACTCCATTCTTTTAAGTGGTAGCGCTGGCCTCTATACGGAGCCAAGAAACCATCTGCATTACTGTATCCAGCATCACAAAGATAGTAGTAACCTAGAGTAATATCTTATGGTTAGAAGTTATCTTGATTTGAAAATATAACTAAGAGACATCAAGTATTATTTACTTCTCACAAGTAATACCTTGAGGAACTAGAAAACCATTGGATCTGGAAACTGCACTTCTTAAAACCCTTGAATCAGCAGCGGACCCTTCCCAACCAGGTAGTATGTAAATAAAATTTAAATCTTGAGAGCAAACTCCCAATACATTTGTGGCCAAATCACCTTTTCTTGTTCTATATTTGGGTTTGTCTTGCTCTGCAACATTTAACTTAATATATGTTCCATCTAATGCACCTAAACAGTTCTATATTTTTACAATTAAACAAACATTTTGTTAGTAATTAACTTATAACTTGTATTCATATTTGAGTTAGTTTTAAGGAAATTATATACAGTTTATTACCTTAAACCACTTCCATGGGTGTGCTCTGCAGTTTTGAAGTACTGGTTCAGGCTTCTTAAGCAAAACTTCGTGTAATCTCAAGATAGCAAGTAAGACACTATTGAAGTGTCTGCTAATTGTTTCACCGCTGCGCACAAATTCTCTCTTGGCTACTCTATTTTTAGTATGGTGAGCCAAAATATAGAGAAATGAAGCAAGCATTTCTTCAATAGACGTGTTCTTTGTTGACCGCAACAAACCAATGCTTTCAACCATATTACAGAGCTTGTAAAATGCTCTCCTATCCATCCTAATGTTATCCACACATTCTATATCATCATCCCAAATCATACTTCTAATATTTAGACATCTAATTGTGTATCTCTGGTAAGCATTTCCTTTTTGACTTCTCTTCCTCTTTCTTAGAACAAAATTGGGTGCATAGTACTCCAATATTGCAACTAACAGAAGTAGTATGTTTTTAAAATGTAACATGACAGAATAAGCCGCCATGTACATTGTTAATTCCTCCTGCGTAGGGCTGTCCATTTTCCACACTAAAGAGAGAAAGTAAATCAGACTATAACTTTCATGATATAAGTTATAATATTCAGAAAATAAACCTTATATATCATGTAAGTAAACCCATTATGATTAGTTTTCATGGAACTCAAATGCTTTGAATTCATCATGATATAAGTTATAATATTCAGAAAATAAACCTTATATATCATGTAAGTAAACCCATTATGATTAGTTTTCATGGAACTCAAATGCTTTGAATTGAATTGTACAGTAATGTAAGTGTTTTTGTAAAAATAAATTATCAATGGTGCTAGTAACAGCAATCTGATTGAAGGAATAAAAAACAGAAGAGTAGAAATATTACAATTAATTTAGTAAAAGCCATCATAAAAGCAATACAAAAGTCTACTAAAAAGTAAAAACCCAAGTCGGCTAAACTTTTACTAAAAGCAAATTATATAAAATCATAACTATACCCAAATGATTAATTGAAAAAATGATTAATTTATATAGATGAAAAAATTCTAATATCAAAAGTTCAAAACTGACTTTAGAACCCCAGATCTTCAATTTTTATGACAGTTCCAAACATATGAGAGAAATTGCAAGTTGTAATTGTAATAAGAATTATAAAAACGAAGCCAAATTTAGATAGAGGACTGATCTAAAAATTGTATGTGAACATATTAAAACTCAAATGCTTTGAATTCATCAATTTTGAGTTCAAAGCATCTAAAAACGGCTAAAAACGATCGATGAACGAAGCCAAATCCCGTTCCTTGTAATTCCAAATCAATTTTGAGTTCATTCCAAGGAATTTCAAACCATCCATTCCATTAGTTGAGGTTATTCAGATCTAAAAACGAAGCCAAATCTAGATGCAAGGAATTACAACCAACCATGTGCATATTAAATCATTAGGTCAACAAAAGTTTGATTCCAAATAAATACGGCTAAAAAAATATGAAGACTAATTTTTTTACCTGGTTTGAGAGGAGACCAGCTAATGCTTGCTTCGGAAAAATGAGTTTGTGAGAGCAGCTGAGCAGATCTCTTCTACTTATACTTGCTCGAAAGATGGAATTACCGCCATCTTTTTTATTTTTGCCGCCAGAGAGAGTAGGGCTAGAATCGTCAACATCAGACGAGCTTGTTTTTATAATACGGTGTAAACAATTTTACCACCCTCTCCCCACGTAAAATAGATTACATGGTACAGTGTAAAATGATTAAAAAAAGTGCCCTACAGATTACATTAAAAAATTAAACCAAACAGTGTAAACAGTTTACTTCCCTAAACTTTGCATGCAAAGTGTTTAAATCACACCTAAACAAACGCCCCCTAAGTGTATAAGTGATATTACGAGAAACCTCAGGAGAGAAAAATATTTTCCAAAGAAAAGACAAAGCGGGGAAAGCACAGGCTAACCTTGAGGAAACCAGCTCGTAATTAGGACCAAGGACAGAGTTGCCCTTTTCCTTCCAAGAGAATAACTGCACAGAAGATGTTGAAATCATCCAAAAAAAAGAATTGTGCATTGGGAACAAAAGTGCCTCAATTACACAAAGGAAAATAATCATTGACTGAATAGCTTCATTTCCCAGTGGTAAAGAAGGCATTTTAGGAACCAGTTCCATCAATCAGCTAAATAGAGGGACATAGAATGATTAGTTTAAGAACAATTAGATGACCATCATCAAGAAATGGCAAAGCACAAAATCAGAAAACATATTGCATAAATAGTACTCTCTCCATCCCACTTTGTAAGATACTGTTTCCTTTCCTTTTTGAGTTATCTAAAAAATGTGAACATTTTCCTAAATTGAATTCTACTAACTTTTTGCTTTCTCAATTTATCATTTCATTTTTTACTCTTTGCGACTCATCTTACTCTTTCTTACTTTTTGGGGATTATAATTGTAAAACATCCATTTTATCATTTATTTTAAAAAAAAACCCACCAAACTCACATCTGTCTGACTTTGCCCCCGTTTGGATAGTAGTGGCTTGAAGAAAAAGCTGATAATTATCAATTACAAAACGCTGCAAATTGCAGCGTTTAGGCAGCAATCAGCCGAAAAACAAACGACGCCTTTATGGGACAGAGGTACTGGAATATATGAATTTTATCCTGAAAGAAGCATTGTTTGCAATGTAAAAACGCATGTAACATTCTTATAAGGTCCTCCCTACGTCTGTCTCCAGAAGAGAGTGATGTCCACATCATAACCTTATATAAAAGCTTCCATCATCAGGTGATCAACAAGGAATAATGAATTCGTAATATTTTGACACTAAAAGTTTTAGCATATCATACTCCAAAAGCACTATATCGTAAAAGTACAATAAGAGCTTTTGAATTTTATTAGGATCAAACGCAAATCATCAATTCTACCTATTCTTTTTATCTATATGTTAATTTAACATACTTAACATTTGGGGATCATCATCATCATCATCATCATCATCATCACCTTAGTGCCGCAAAGGCTCCCACCTACGGTGGGATAAGGGAGAATCGGATGTACGCAGCCTTACCCATATTGAAAATCGCATCGAAAATTTCATTGATTAATGCTTTAAAATACATTACATATACAACAACAGCCAAGCCTTATTCCCAAAAGTTTTTTGGGTCGGCTAAGAAAAAGTTTATTTTCATTATATCTAATGTAGTAAAATACATTAAATATAATGAAAATGAACTTCTTTTTATTAAAAAATAACTCTTTTTGAATAAAAACAAGTTTTATTTATGACTACTTTGGGGTGAGGGGGCATGATTTTTATGTTAGCAGAAAACACGTCAGTAAAACAAAGATATTATATCATGTCATCTCAAACATAACTGAATAGTTGAAAATAAGAGACAGAGATGAGTGTTTTGTTAAGAGATACTGATTTACTTTTCTTGCTGGTAATAGATGAGTGTTTTGGTATTACAAGAGCTTGTAACTGAAGTTTCTTGATCAGCGAAAACATATGACGCTAACAAGACAAGTACATAGATACACAAAAGTAAAATGCACCACACAATTGTAGTGCAGGTTTCCATTTAAAGTCCAGAAGATCAAACAGCATTCTGCTTACATTTCTCCCCATCCACTACTGCTACGGACATACTTGTCTACAATTCCAAACTCTTTGTTTTGTGCAAGCCTACGGTTGTAGTTTTCAGTTGAAATGTGACCCTTCTTGTACCTCCTATAATAGATTATGTCCCAAGGCCACAGCCGAGCACACCCAAAGCAATCTTCTACAGTCAAGTCCTTTTGCATTTGCTCTGGGTGTTCCAATCTGTAGTGTTTTAGAACCATGCCTAACTCCTCTGAAGAAAATTTCAAAGTCGCAGCATTGGACCAACGCTGAGAAATATGGGAAGCTGGATTCAGTTCTTGAGTCGTTTCATATTGCTCTGTTAAATTGTTATTATTTTGACGTTCCCCTGTTTCTACCATATAATCCCCAGTGTATGATTCAGGGGCATGTAAATCTACCACATTAACTGAGTTGTCTGAAATTGCATCAATTTTTGCCTGTCGTTCCCCTTTCAGTTCTTTAGCCGATTCATGTTGCTCTGTTGAATTGTTATTATTTTGCCAGTCCGCTGTTTCTACCATATAATCACCAGTGTATGATTCTAAGGCATGTAAGTCTACTACCTTAACGGAGTTGTCAGAAATTGCATGTTTTTTTGCCTGTGGTTCCCCTTTCAGTTCTTGAGACGTTTCATGTTGCTCTGTTAAATTGTTATTATTTTGCTGTTCCCCTGTTTCTACCATATAATCACCGGTGTGTGATTCTGAGGCATGTAAATCTAGTACCTTAACTGAGTTGTCTGAAATTGCATCAATTTTTGCCTGTTGTTCCCCTTTGAGTTCATCTACCTTCAACTCTGGAACCAAATCCTTTTTCTCTGTCCGCATCGTATTTGAAGATGAGGATAAAGATTTTTCAAGTGATGCACATAGAGGGTCAGAGGTAGGAGAGGTTGACCTTGAATGTGTTGTTGAACCAGACCTTAAACTAGAGTATCGGGAATTCCTTCTGGCAAGGGATGGTTTTGGCATTGAATTCGAAGGCTGAGAAAGGGACTGTAATGATCTTGAAAGTGAATGTGATCCAGAAGCAGCATGACCGGACCAGGTTGAATTTGTGACAGGTGCTCGGTCATTCTTTGAGTAATATCTTGTGCTTCCAGTGCTGGGCTTCCTGAACTTGTTTTTCATATAGTTCTTCCTCCCACTTTGACGAGCAGTTCTTTCCGTTGAAGAATCTCTCTGTCTTGACCTGTCTCTTTTTCTTGATCTTTCATCTTTTTTGACATCTACACATGAATCTGAAGGTAATGTATTGCAACTAGCATTGGGGGGTTCCAGTTTTGTTTTCTCTTCTGATCTCCTGGGAGAGGCTGCGTTTTCAATGTTGGTCAGATGATGGAATTCACTTATCTCATCAGCGGAAGAAGGTACATAGCGGTCAAAGTGCAGTCCATCTTCAAGTCCATTCTGATCCAATGATGCACTAACTTTCTCACCTTGCTCACCATTTTGCAGAACAGTTGCCTCTCTCCCTCCACCACTGTCATCAGGAAAACCGTCCACAGAAGTATGAGATTCTTCATAGCGATGATGGCTTGCAAGGTTATCAACCAGCTCAGCGTGCACAGTTTTTCCACCATCGGTATCTGCTGACCCAAACCCTCTTTTATGATGTTGGTGACCATTGTGACCAAAATCTCGAGAAAAGTCATCACGTCTTTCACTCTTAGAAAATCTCTGGAAATGTTTTGGCTGAGGTTGCCTATTTGACCATGAAAGAGTTATTTTGTTTCCACAGATGGTCTTGCCTCGAAGCGAGTTCAACGCTTTTTCTGCATTTGCAGGGTAATCATATACAACAAACCCAAACTTGTCTTTCAAACGTACCGTACACCTCCCAAACCTCTGGAAAACATGCTCTAGTTCATCTCTGTGGATATGAGGTGGTATATTACCAAGGTGCAGCGACATCTACAGTTAAAAAAACTCAGTTATTTGTATCCTGGGCTGCTTAAAGCCAGCTTTCTTCTATATGCATCATAGGTACATTAAAACACCATTGGTGTCTAGATAAATGCCTATAAATAATACACTTAGAAAGATGTTCCATCTAAGTTGCCCAGACTTGCCTACTTCTAAGTTGTAACCTTTAGTTCCATCTAGCTCCACATAGAAAGATGTTGACTAACTCATTTACTACCCAAACATGTCAACATGACACCATCCTCTTGCAAACAAAATGACACCTTTGAATCACAACAGTTTGAACGAATTAAGTTTTCACAGTAATTTTAAAGAACAATTAACACAATAAGGATCAACATAGCAGCAAAGAATTCATCAACACATTGCTAATTGTTTTTTGAAGAAATCAAAAGTCAAAAAGCATTTGAAGCGCAGTAGCTTGAGAAGGGTCCTAGCATACCTATAACAGTATAACTTTGATACGTTGTGAGCCAAAATAGGATTAACATTGCCGCATATGAGCATAACATTCATCACCAAACTATTACTCCCTCCATCCCGGAATATGGTTCTTGTTTTAGTTTGCCACACATATTAAAAACTTGGTTGAAAAGTAAAAGATGTGGCGGAGATTTGGGTAGAAATGAGTGAAAAGATAACTACATATTTCTTCATAAATAGGAAACAATGAGATAATTTACCAAAAAGGAAAACATGAAGTTTATTTCAGAACGGAAAGAGTATTACTTTCCCAGAAAATAAATTTAAATTTTTATTAGCAAAATAGCAAATACAACAAAAACAACATCCAAGCCTTAATCCCAAAAGATTTTGGGGTCGGCTAACATGAATTGATCCATGATATCGATGCCAAAAAGAGAAGACGGACAAGAAGAAAAAAAGGATAAAACGAATAAGATAAAGATAAATAAATACTTCGTATAAGATAACAATAACATAAGAATATAAGAAAGATAAAAGATTAAAAGATAAAAGAGCATAAAAAAGCTAGAAGGTAAAAATAACATAAGAACATAAAAAGACAAAGCAGATAAACGATAAAAATAGCAAATACACCGTAACAAAATTATACATTTCCCAGACAATGCTTTCTGCTAAGAAACCAGTAAGTGTGCGAAGTATAAGATTTATTTACAAGTTAGATAAATCTTTCCAAACCAATTAAACATATCAGACCATTGATGCACATGTAGTTTCCACATGCAAGCTATGTTAGTATGTTTACTTTAAACCCAAAGGAGGGAGAGGGTGGTGGTGGGGATATTTCAAATAGAAGGAAAGGAAAAGGGGGGAACATATGATCAACTACGAAGTTAAGTGCCATTACTACCATATCATAATCACAGCTTATTGAGATCTACTACACTGACTGCATATTCACTCCAGACTACTTCCATGGAAAGCATTCATTATCGGACAACATGACATTTACATGATTTGTCTCTCCTCTTCCAATCATATCTTGCCAATCAACATTTTCCCAGTTCATATCATATTTGTGACACCTCAAAGCCAAACCCCACGACCTAAAGACTATTAGATTTTATGCAATGAAATTCCGAACTTCTGACTAAAACCTTCTTTCTATAATCGCATCCAAAACAATGACATCAACA